CCCCCCCCACCCCCCCACCCCGAAGGTGTGTGGCCCTGCCTTCCTCGACTGCCGCGCTCATGCTGCACGTTCCGTCTGGCGGCTTGTCCAAGCGGTCCCCAGCCTCCAAACCATCGCCCACGCCCGTTCGTTCTGCAGATTTCAGTGAAGAGCCACTTACGAGTTTGGACAGTGGGCGATTTTCAGCTAAAATAAGATTCTGCTCAACTTGTTTTCCTAAATAAGATAGAATGGTTGAGCCAATCTGGGTCTAAAGGGATATAAGCCATGTCTTCTGATACAGTAATTTTGGGTCCATGGATAGAGTAGCTTCTATTCTGGTGAAGCCTGACCAGGGCAGTGTACAGGGCGGCTACGTTTAAACCCACCACGAATGATTAAGGCCCCATAGCCCGCCTTCCCCTGCTCACCTCTAGCCCGGACAGTGGAAAACTAGAATAAGATATTTCCAGGAAGAGTCAGTGAGGAGCCCTTCCTTCTGCTCTAGGAGCATCACACCCAACATGATCCCTCTACCTGGGCACACACATCTCCAAATTAAGAGCATTGGCAAAAACTGAACACAGGCAATACTTAATGTTGATATAATACGGGAAAACAAGGAATCTCATATACTGATGACAGAGGAATGTTAATCAATACATTTGGGGGGCCATTTGGCACTATATTTTAATGACTGAAGTTACAGATTTATCCTACAGAAATACTAGCCTGAGTATATAAAGTACTATGGACAAAAGTGTTTATTGTAGCATATAATAAAATGGGGTAACTAATTGTCCTTCAGAAAACTGAAATCATAATCTTATCCACACAGCAGAATACAGTACAGCCAGGATTATAAAATGAGGTAGCTACTTAAGTGTTGACATGAAAAGATGGTCATGAAATATAAGGTGGAAAAAAAAGCACCCCAGAGTCTGTGGGGGCACATTCCCTGTATTGTGATAAAAGGACTCTGTGAATGTGTGTTTACCCATAGCACATTCTGGAAGCCAACATTTAACTACTGATAGTGGTTACCTCTGGAGAATGGCACACGGCTTTCAGGTTCTCATAGACACATTAGTTTTATTCTGCATCATCCACTTATTTACTCAAGAGTATTTATTGAATACGGAATATGTCCCAAGAGCGGTCCTCCCCCCAAAAAAAATCTCTGAAGCTTACATTCAAATGTAAAAGGGAAAACATGCTAATATAAACAATACAGGAAAGCCATATGGCATTAAAGTTAATACATCTGAGAGACAAAGCATAGCAGTGGAGGAGTCCAGGAAAGCCCCAGGAGCTGCAATTTTAGATAAGCCTAAGAATGACACGTCAGTAAATAAAGGAAGACCTTGGGGAGAGCCTAGAGGAAGAACATTAAGGCACAGCAAGCAGCAAGTGCAAAGGCCCTGAGGTTTGACCTGTTCTGGAAGCAAGGAGGCTGCGTGGGGCATAGTGAGCACAGGGGGCCTGTGGACTTGGGACTTTGTGACGGTTAGCTGTCCGGGTAAAGGACTGATGTGATCTGACTTAGATCGGAATACGATCACTCTGGATCCAGTGTTGAAAGTCAGTGGAAGAAAGAAGAAAGAGCATGGGCAGAGGCCAGGAGCTCAGGAGAAACTGCAGGGACCCAAGCAGGAGGAAGATGATGGTGCTCTCTCTGCACCAGGATGGTAGCAGTGGGGGTGGGGCAACGTAGCCAGAATCCAATTCATTTGGAAGTTAAAAGGCTTGATGTCCAACTGTATGCGAAGCGTGGGGAAACAAGTGTCAACGGTATCACCAACATTTTTGTTTAGCAACCCGGATCCATCCAGTAGCTTACCAAGTGAAATGGGGAAGTTTGAGAATATCGATTTGGGGTAGGGGAACCGTGAGTTGGGTTTTGGACCTGCCGAGTTTGAGATGTCCGGGAGGGTCCACGTAGCCAGCTGCACAGACGTGTCTGGAATTCCAGGAAGGAAGAGGGAACGAGTAAATAAATATACACGTGAGTGATCAGCGTATAGATGAGAGGGAGTGAGATCACCAAGTCAATGGGTGTAGGCAGAAGAGAGGTCCCAGACTGAGCTGACAGACAAGACAGGGTCAGTGAGGGACTTTATAAAGGAGAGTCCACAGGCCAGTAGGAGGAAGACGAGTGGAGTGCTACGTCCCGACAGCCAGCGGAAATGGTTTCACTGCAGAGAGGGACCAACTCTTTCCGGCGAGACCTGAGAACTCACCACCTACGTTAGGGGTGGCCCACTGGTGACCTTTTACAAGAGCAAGTCCAGTGGGAGAGTGGAGCAAACGGCTGATTGTAGTAGGGTTGGAAAAGGAGAGGAAAAATTAGAAACAGGAAGTACAGATAACTGTTGGAAGGCCTTTGCTGAAGAGGAAAGTGACTGGAGCAGGTGAAGGAGGTACTGGGGTAGAGATTTTTCTTGTGCAAGAAATGACAGGAACGTCTGATGGATGGGAATGACCCAACCACGAGGGAGAGGGCGACCTGCCGCAGCACCCTGAGCAGCCGAGAGTCCTGTTGACCCAGTGAGGCTGCGCGAGGCAGGCGGGGCCCAGGCATGGATCGCACGTGGGCCGGGGGGCACCTTTCACACTGCAGTCTGCATAGAGGGCAGGCACGCTGGAGGGGACGTGCGAGGCCCGCCTAGCCCAGGGGGAACAGGGCCACAGGGGCAAGTGAGAGGGTAAATGTGATGGTGTGAACTTGTGAAGCCGCGCTCTGATTGCTTCGGTCTTCTCACTGACACAGAAACATCAGCAGCCAAAAGTGAGAGGGAAGCGGGCACTTTGTACATAGATATGCTATGAAATGATCCCTTAGAGAGCATATATGAATATGACACTTATTTTTGAAATCAAGATGTAATTAACATGCAAATCGCACAAACTTAAAATGTACGATCCTTTGTTTTGACATATGTATACATGTCAAACCAGAACCACATCAAGGTAACAAAAAATTCATCGCCCCCGTTTCCTTCTGCCCCTTTGAAATCTCTCCAAGTCCCTCCCCACCAACTCCCACTGATGTGCTTTCTATTGGTTTCTGTAGGTTACTCTTGCATTTTATAGAACTTCCGGTAAATGAAAGCATGGATTTCTGGTCTGCTTTACTTCAGCATTGAGAGTTGTCCATGTTGCGTATATCAAGTTAACTGCCTTTTATTGGAAGAGATAATTGGATGGATAATCATTTATGTCCTTCCCTGTTGATGGCCATGTGGACTTTTTCCACCTTTGGGCTACCGCAAATAAAGCTACCATGAACGTTCTCATCCAAGTCATCATATGGACTTGCTTTCTGCTCGGTCAATAACTAGGAGTGGTGAACTTACTGTAACTTTTAAGAACTGCCTATTTTCTTTTTATTAAAAAAAATTAACGTTTATTTAATTTTGAGAGGGAGAGACAGAGTGTGAGCAGGGGAGGGACAGAGAGAGAGAGAGAGGGAGACACAGAATCCGAAGCGGGCTGCAGGCTCTGAGCTGTCAGCACAGAGCCCACTCAGAGCCCGATGCGGGACTTGAACCCACGAACCGTGAGATCATGACCTCAGCTGGCCAGATGCTTAACTGACTGAGCCACCCAGGCGCCAAGTATTTTCTGAGGTAGTTAGTTCACCCCTTTGCTTTCCCTGCAACAGTGTAAGCGTTCCTCACACCCTCACCAACACAAAGTACGGTATTTTTAGTCATTCTAATAGATATGTGGTGGTAACTCATGGGTTTTAAGTTCTATCTTCCTAATGGCTTATTATGTTGACCAGCTTCTCATGTGCTTATTTGCCTATTTGTCCTCTTTGGTGAAGTGTCTGTTTAAATATTTTGCCCATTTTTACAATGGGCAAATGGATCCTCTCAAACTACTGAGTTTTGACACTTCTCGATCTATACTGAACCGCGTGTGTTGTCAGAAGCGTTCTGCCAATGCTTCCTGCCACTGCCTGCTGGCTTGTCCTGCCCTCAGAACAACAAACACCAAAGAGGGGACATTTTCAATTCTGATAATGTGCAGCTTTTCAAATTTTTCTTCTAAGGATTGTGCTTCGGTGCTGTATACATCCAAACCTTACCCACAGTTGAGCACTTCCCCTTTTTTTTCCCCAAAAGTTCTATAGTTTGAGGTTTCATGTTTAGGAATATAATCCATTTTGAGTTAAGTTTTGCTTATGTTGAAATATGAATCAATTTTTAACTTTGCATCTGGATGTCCAACTATTCTAGCACTATTTGCTCGACTTTTGCACCTTTGTCTAAAATCAGCTGTCCCTACACACGTGGGTCTCAGAACTCTCCGTTCTGCTCCGTCAGCCCAGGGGACCTGTGTGCCCAGCAGAAGGGACGGATGCGACTGGGCAAAGAACAAAGGAGTTATTGACCGGGGCTGCAGACCTGAAGCTTCTCGTCCTAAAAAAGTCACTGAACAAACGTGGAGATGCAGAAAGACGCGGCACTGTTACATATGTGAAGAGAGAAATTTCTCAAGGAAGATTAAGCTGCAGGGATGCAGAAGGGACCTCGTCCACCCAGGTCACCGGTTGCCATCGTGGGCCCATCCCCGCACTGTGCAGGGCTGCTGCCGGAGGTAGGAGTCAGGGGAGACTGTGGGCCTGGGGGACACGGAGCCCCCCCTCTGAATTCCTCGGGGCATTTGACTCGTAACTGTTAGAACCTCTTGCTTATTTTTCTGGTCTTTTCCACTCTGACTGGGCTCCCTGAAGGCAGACACCATACCTCGATTCAGCTACAGTACTCAGTACAGTGCGGGGAAACAAAACATACACCGAACCAAAACACTGTGGGAGGGAGGACAGGTGTTACCTCCTCGGACCCTTAATCCACTTGTGACATCAGCTTTGTTTGCAACAAGAGTGGCTGTAAACTGTGGGGTGCGAGGGGGAACGAACGGCCGCTTCCTGACTTTCACCATGCCATCTCCTTTGCTGCAGAACCTCAGCTTGACAGATTACAGATGCCTGTAGTTGAGAAAGCATTTTGCCTACCACGGCTGCATTTAAAAGAAATAAAAATATACTTGAGGGGCGCCTGGGTGGCTCAGTCATTTAAGCATCGGACTCTGATTTCGGCTCAGGTCATGATCTTCTGGTTCATGAGACGGAGCCCTGCATCAGGCTCTGGTGCTGACAGTGCAGAGCTTGCTTGGGATTCTCTCTCTGACCCTCCTCTGCTCTCACACACGCTCTCTCAAAATACATAAACATTATGAAGTTTTTTAAATGCACTTGATTAAAAAGAAATCATCAAGTTTTGAACCTAGAACCGATCTCTTCACATGGGGACACTTAGGAGGAAAAAGCTTCATGCAATTCTTTCCTTTTTCTCAGAGATTTACAATCAACTACATAAAACGGCTGTACTCTGGTAGATCTTGCAGAAGTGGAAGGCAGCCTGCCTGCAAGAAGAAGGCCTGTACTGCTCCCCCGTGAAGATGGTCTCACAGTACAGTCAGGGGGCGAGCAGGAAGGGATGTGTTCTCTGCGACTATACTTTTAAATTTATACTTAAAACAGAATGGAGGAACTATAATCACATATTAATTCTTTTTCTTACATAATTATTACATTAAAAAATACCTAGGGAGCCTGGGTGGCTCAGTCAGTTGAGCGTCCAATCTTGGCTCAGGTCAGGATCTCACAGTTCGTGAGTTTGAGCCCCGCATCGGGCTCTGTGCTAACAGCTCAGAGCCTGGAACCTGTTTCGGATTCTGTGTCTCCCTCTGTCTCTGCACACAACCCCCACCCCCCACTCGCACTTAGTCTTTCTCTATCAAAAATAAACAGTAAAAAAATTTTTTTAATTACCTAGATTATCTACTTATGCTGATTAATAATGCACATTTCTGTAATTCTGGAACAGTTTTGCAACAAAGCAAAAACAAACCATAAAAACTAGGCTACAGCTAACATTCACTTTATTCAATTTTGTTCTCTTGACTTAAAAGGCAACAAACAGCCACATAAAAAAGGGAGCATTTGAGAATATATACACATAACATTGTTCTGGGTATCTAAGGTTTTTGCTTCAATAGAAAATTGATATCCTAAATAACTAAGTGCTCTATGTACCGTCTACAAAAGTCATTTCCAGGCCTATGGTCACTACACTTCCAGTTAAGGGACTGTGTATTACTCTCCCGACACAAAACGAGGCACTTGTACAAAATCGATGGGAATGAAATCAGATATATACTGTCTTACACCTTTATGTTGTATTAGCAACAAACCTACTACTGTTGGGAGATTACTTGAAAGAAACCCTTACTCATGATGGCTGCTTTTAGAAATGACACCGGGCAGTACCAGGGTGAAGAGAAAATTTCTGTGTCTGAGGGACAAATAGAGATACGAGACAGCCCAACCAAGGGAGTTACCGTCTCCACACGTGAGGTTTTGCTAACAGTTTAGTGGCACAACATATTACTTTTGTCTTTTCTTGATGGCGACCGAGCAGGTAACATTCTAAAGGAGTATTTTAAACATAATCATTTTAAAATTTCACAAGTATAAAACTTATCACACACAGTTAGTAGAAAGCTTAAAATACTGAGTCCTGAAAGCTAACTTCGGGTGTTTACAAAAGCGCCAGTGTTCTTAGACCGGTGCTACATTCTCATGGGAGGGGGAGGGGGGGAGATGGATGTAAGCACAATACAGAGGAGAAATGTCCAGTGCTTCTGTTTTATAAAGTCATGAATTCAACCTAAATTCAAGAATTACACTTTAATAGCATTTGCCAATACGGAAATGACATTGCTAAGACTGAATCGTTTAAGAAAAAGTTATTCTGTTACTTGAATGAGGGAAAGAAAAAACACAAGACAAGAATCCACAGTAATAACAGCTATATTAAATACTGAAATAAAAATGACTTTTTGTTTACATCTGGAATTGAGATGTCCAATTTCCACTGTTTCTCCAGAGAACTAACAGGGAAAAAAAAAATCACCTAAAAACATGGAACTTTTTTAAGGCTAGCTATACATAAACCTCACATTGGCATTTTCTTGTTTTCTTCTCAACTATTAGTACTTAATAGTTTAAAAATCAAACATAATTTGCTAATAATGAACAACTGCACACTTAATAATTATGACCATTTGGTAACTGGTCATGTGAAACTCACTCCCAAATGTTGATTTGTCTTCAATTTATAAACAAGTAAAAGTAAAACACAATGGTCTTCTTTCGTAATTAATTTCCTTGAAGACGGTTTTAGCCCAATGTAAAATGAAGCAAAACTACACTATTATGTAAAAAAAAAAATTGTACATGAAGGGCAGCAATACTAGAACTTTCTGAACCAGAGGTTTCAAATGTTCATGAGACTATTGGCTAATAATAAAATCCTGGTGCCGCCCTTGTAAATATTACGTCAGCAAATGCTTTCCTTACGAAAGTAATTATCTTACTGAAAACAGGACAAAGCACAACTGAAAACCAAAATGAAATCCTTAAATACAACAAGATAAAATGATCTGCCGGTGAAATGGAGGGCAACATTTTGGCCATTCATATATATGTATGTTTTTCTTTTCTTTCTTTTTTTTTTTTTTTACAAATCATCTGATAAGATTCTTTTAAAATTCTGTAGAGTAACAATTTTTAATTTTTTGTGGTATCTGCCTAGATCTCTTTCTGGTAAAATGGATAAATGTGTTCCAGTGACTTTATATCAAGATCTATAAATTCTCTGAAAAATTAAAAAAGAAACCTAAATTAATATAATCAAGTTCTATGCCCAACTGATAATATTTTTCTCCCAAAGAGAACAATTTATATAGACATATACCACGATAGGTAACATCACATTTTAAAATGCTCCTAATTTTTTAAGGCAGGACTCCATTTCTGCATAAAGGCAGGGCTAGCAAAGACCTTATTTCAAATACGAGAGAAGGAGCTGCTGCAAAGTGCTGGAGTGTAACACTGAACCCATGGCAAGCTTTTTTTTTTGATACTGATGTTTTAAACTATATTTTAAAGTAAAGTGATCACCGCTTCAGGAAAAACTGTTGAAATATAAAACAACCAAAATATGTTTGCTTTTTTGGTAGCTTATGTTTGGCTGACTTTCATATTTACAATATCTTCAGATTTCAGTCTACAGAGTTTAATACTATACGTAAACTCTTCAGGAGTTTCCTCTGCTGCCTGTTTTCTCTGAGAACATTCAAAACACAAACACCAACCTTACAATATATCGTTATTATCATTATTGGTAAACACTGGGATTGTGTGCCCAACTGTTCTATTGCTCTCAATACTTCTTACTGGAAGCTTTGGTTCTACGGGAAAACCAGATTTGTAAGTGTTCAGTATTCCAAGATTTTACAGCACATCGCCAATGAAACACCTTCTTTACTCCCATGGTAAAAAGGCCAGCTCAAGCCAGCTTTCTTCAGGCCAAGTAAAATTAAGTTGGTTTCATTTGCAGTTTTATTCTGTAAAAAGTTCTGGAAACTTTGGGATTTGCTCATGGAAGCTAGGAGAAATGGACTCCCTGATCCCCACCCAACGGGGCGCACTGGGCAGCAGGAGCAGCCAGGGGCCCAGGCAGCCTCCCTAGCGCTGCCGTCTACAGCACAAAGGATGTCTGCAGTTGGCTAGCCCCTCAGGGTGCCCTAACTCCAGGAGGACGCGGTACTGTTGGTGACAGTATTCTAGAAGACTCGTGATCCTGCATGACTTTTGGCCACTGCTGCCAAAAAGGGGAAGAAAAAAAAACCAACAAGACAGCTGTGTATGGAAAAGGGGGGGTTGGAGGAAACTGATAAAAATGTTCTTGTGGACTTTTTCTTCCTCTAAGTATAGACATGCCCCCAACAAGCACAAAACCCAACCCCTAATGCTGATCACTAGGAATATTAAATTATCAAAATTAAAAATAATTTCTTCACCTAGCACAAGATACTATACAATATTATAAACACAGACACATGAAAAAAAATCAGGCAGTAGAAAATGTACAACAGCTTTGGTGTTATACAAAATAACTTCCAAAAACGACTGACAGTGAAGCACAAAGTCCATGTCCTCTTACCACAGACACTCCACTGCTGCTTTCTACGTGTTTCCTTGTAAGTTCTTGGTATGGTGTGAACAGCCAAGAAAGACAGAGCGCACAGTCTGCTTAGTAAGAACCGCAGGAACACCGGGGTATCGCGCTGCAAAGGGCGTCACTAGAAAGCTTTGCCTCTGCACTATGGCTCTGTGGCACGTTTCCTGTCAAGATCACAGCAGGTCCAAAATAAAGTGACAACTAGATTTAATAAATTAATATACATTTTGTTTAAAGATGTACAATGCACATTCTGTTTAATCCAAGGTTTCAGGGTACCCAGGAACGTCTATTTACACATGTACAGATCTCAGACAGCAATGACAGCGGAAGATGCAGGAAGGGCAGCAGACCTTGGACCGCGCCTCTCTGAGTGCTGGGAACACAAGTCAAATACAGTTAACTTAAGAACAATGCTGAGAGATCACTGGGAAAAATCTCCAAAGAGAGAAGTCCACAAAAAAGGACACGTAAAGGCCAGGGGAAGGTCAAGGTAGTGGAGACCACCACTTTATTCTTGGGACGACTGTGGAGGTGGCGGAGATGTGCCTTGTTTGCCAGATTTCCGTTCATAATTCACGAGGCGTTGGCCCACAAGGTATCTAGGTTGCAAAAAACAGGGTGGTTACTCTCTTATACGATCTTGCATATTAAAATATTCTTCCTAAGAGCAGCCAGTGATACATTTGTAAATGCAAATGAGATCATTCCCACTTAAAACCCTTCAATGGTCTGACAGGTAGGAGAGTCTAGAATGAGCACTGGCAACAGGCACACGAGCAGGCACCTCACGGCAAGGTGAGAGCAGCAAACGTCGGAAGGCCTCGGATGCCGGGCAGTGGTGCGCGTGCTCGGCCCGCAGGCTGGGGCACTCACACCTGCAGACGCTGGGAGGTACGGCACAGGAAAGTGACTCACGGCGTTTATCTGTTACGGGTATTCTATAAACAGCTCAGGGGAACAGAGCTGAAGAAACAGAAAGCTGGGGAGGGAGGAAAGTGGATCAGAATAGCTCTAGTTCTAGAGAAAAGGAGAAATCCAAGGGCAAAGGTTTCAATGAGGTCAAAGGAGAAGGCAGAGAACCTGCATATTCGAGGCACAGAAGGTAGGAGGCGATGGCCCAAGAACAGAGCATTACGCACCCCTAACTCACGCGCCGTGAGGACACAGAGCTTAGGGCAAAGGGTTCAGGGCTGCAGCACTGGCCACACAAGCGACCACGGCTGGCCTGACAAGACCCCATGTCCAGGGGCGACAGCAGCACTTGTGGTGAAGCAGTGTGCCTCCTTGACCGCGGGGCTGGGCTGCAGGCTGACCCGCGAAGGCCAGTGGGTGAGAGCTGATGACGGCAATGAGCTCCGGGAGGCCGGGGCACGTGGGGCCCGAATGGAGTCAGACCCCTGAGTGGCCGCTCAGTGCTCAGCCACCTGTGGGAGCCCAGAGGAGGCTGCCCCACGCGACAGGCTGGCCC